AACATTCTGAACAAGTAAGAAATTATAGTCGGGCGAAGCCGACCATATAATACCCTACACCTTTGACAAAAATATAATGTGATTTAGTTGCCATAATAAAGCATTTAAGTTGAATTGTACCTTGCCTTAGATATACATACTTAAGCCGTTTATTGTTGAATAAAATTGTGGACATTTAAGTGAAATTTTGATGGGGCTTTTCATAGGGGCTAGGGTCATATGAGAACCTATTATTATGGAATTCGTCTTGTATACAACTTGGTTATTGCAGCTTTTTGTCGAGATATGAGTATATTAAACATAATTATGAACTTAAAAGCCCTATTCGGCGGGTTCAGTTGTATGGGGGCTAGGTGAAATAATGGACCGATGTAAACCATTTTCAACAGGCTTCATCTACGGTACCATAAAAGATCATGTGCCAAATTTCATTGAATTATCTCCAAAATTGCGACCTGTAGTTTGATTACAAGTTTTAAAAGCCCTATTCGGCGGGTTCAGTTGTTTGGGGGCTAGGTGAAATAATGGACCGATGATAACCATTTTCAATAGGCTTCGTCTACGGTACCATAAAAGATCATGTGCCAAATTTCATTGAATTATCTCCAAAATTGCGACCTTTAGTTTGATTACAAGTTTTAAAAGCCCTATTCGGGGGTTCAGTTGTATGGGGGCTAGGTGAAATAATAGACCAATGTTAACCATTTTCAATAGGCTTCGTCTACGATACCATAAAAGATCATGTGCCAAATTTCATTGAATTATCTCCAAAATTCCGACCTGTAGTTTGATTACAAGTTTTAAAAGCCCTATTCGAGGGGTTTAGTTGTATGGGGGCTAGGTGAAATAAAGGACCGATGTTAACCATTTTCAATAGGCTTCGTCTACGATACCATAAAAGATCATGTGCCAAATTTCATTGAATTATCTGCAAAATTGCGACCTGTAGTTTGATTACAAGGATTACAAGCCCTATTGGGGGGTTCAGTTGTATGGGGGATCATGTACCAAATTTCATTGAATTATCTTCAAAATTGCGACCTGTAGTTTGATTACAAGGTTTACATGGACGGACGGACGGACGGACGGACGGACAGACGGACGGACATAGCTAAATCGACTCAGAAAATGATTCTGAGCCGATTGGTATACTTTAAGGTGGGTATAGGACCAATATTATTGTGCGTTACAAACATCAGCACAAACCCAATATACCCTCCCCACTAAAGTGGTGTAGGGTATAAAAACAGTTAAAGATGTCCGAAATGTATACGATGACCGTCCGAAACGTTTCAATACGTTTCAATACATCAGTCAACCTAACCCAGCTAACTATCTAACCAACTAGTATAACTCCACATTCCGACAAAATACATTTAAATACTAGTTCTAGTTTTTGTAGGGTATCTAATGGTCGTTCTCATCTCTATTACTCATTTATAGATGCAATAGAATTATCTCCTATTAAATCAACAATAAGACGGAAGTACTCATAACATTGTTTGTATTACTTTTACAAAATTAATTGTCTGTATGACATTATCATTAATCTTGAGGTTGTAAATTACAAAAAAACACTTAAAAGAAATAAAATCTGTTTATTATTTGCACCCGCTAAGAAATTCAAAACTATAGGACATTAACATTATCAAAGTGTTATTTTTAAATTTTAACTTTTTCCGGTAGCTTGACCATCCCTAATTGTCTTATCTCTTATAAGTGCAAATATATTTCAAAATAAATAATTCACCTTAAAAAAAAACAACTATAATTACCAATGTAAACAATATTGATTTACTTAACAACAACATTTTCATTCATTAGTATTTTTCGAAGGTAAGTTCATTTATTTTTAGTGTTACAATCAAGAAATGTTATCACTATTAAGTGTTCGAAGTTTTTTTTTTATTAATTTCTTATCTTTAAAATCAGTTCTTCTTTTCAAGTATTTATACATCAAATAAATATTGTGCCAATAAAAATATGACTAAGTTCATGACAAATATACAAACAATAAACAAATATGTATACATTTATGTAAATAAATAACTGATATGTATGTGTATCTCTTTATACTAATGGTTTAAATCAATAAATTATATATCTGATTATAGTTATAATAAGTATGCAATGAAGACTATAACTTATGAACTGAACTAAAACTGAAATGGATCTCAACTAGAATTGAACTAAAAACTGAACTAGAACTGAACTAGAACTGAACTAGAACTGAAACTAGAACTGAACTAGAACTGAACTAGAACTGAACTAGAACTGAACTAGAACTGAACTAGAACTGAACTAGAACTGAACTAGAACTGAACTAGAACTGAACTAGAACTGAACTAGAACTGAACTAGAACTGAACTAGAACTGAACTAGAACTGAACTAGAACTGACTAGAACTGAACTAGAACTGAACTAGAACTGAACTAGAACTGAACTAGAACTGAACTAGAACTGAACTAGAACTGAACTAGAACTGAACTAGAACTGAACTAGAACTGAACTAGAACTGAACTAGAACTGAACTAGAACTGAACTAGAACTGAACTAGAACTGAACTAGAACTGAACTAGAACTGAACTAGAACTGAACTAGAACTGAACTAGAACTGAACTAGAACTGAACTAGAACTGAACTAGAACTGAACTAGAACTGAACTAGAACTGAACTAGAACTAGAACTGAACTAGAACGGAACTAGAACTGAACTAGAACTGAACTAGAACTGAACTAGAACTGAACTAGAACTGAACTAGAACTGAACTAGAACTGAACTAGAACTGAACTAGAACTGAACTAGAACTGAACTAGAACTGAACTAGAACTGAACTAGAACTGAACTAGAACTGAACTAGAACTGAACTAGAACTGAACTAGAACTGAACTAGAACTGAACTAGAACTGAACTAGAACTGAACTAGAACTGAACTAGAACTGAACTAGAACTGAACTAGAACTGAACTGAACTAGAACTGAACTAGAACTGAACTAGAACTAGAACTGAACTAGAACTGAACTAGAACTCAACTAGAACTGAACTAGAACTGAACTAGAACTGAACTAGAACTGAACTAGAACTGAACTAGAACTGAACTAGAACTGAACTAGAACTGAACTAGAACTGAACTAGAACTGAACTAGAACTGAACTAGAACTGAACTAGAACTGAACTAGAACTGAACTAGAACTGAACTAGAACTGAACTAGAACTGAACTAGAACTGAACTAGAACTGAACTAGAACTGAACTAGAACTGAACTAGAACTGAACTAGAACTGAACTAGAACTGAACTAGAACTGAACTAGAACTGAACTAGAACTGAACTAGAACTGAACTAGAACTGAACTAGAACTGAACTAGAACTGAACTAGAACTGAACTAGAACTGAACTAGAACTGAACTAGAACTGAACTAGAACTGAACTAGAACTGAACTAGAACTGAACTAGAACTGAACTAGAACTGAACTAGAACTGAACTAGAACTGAACTAGAACTGAACTAGAACTGAACTAGAACTGAACTAGAACTGAACTAGAACTGAACTAGAACTGAACTAGAACTGAACTAGAACTGAACTAGAACTGAACTAGAACTGAACTAGAACTGAACTAGAACTGAACTAGAACTGAACTAGAACTGAACTAGAACTGAACTAGAACTGAACTAGAACTGAACTAGAACTGAACTAGAACTGAACTAGAAACTGAACTAGAACTGAACTAGAACTGAACTAGAACTGAACTAGAACTGAACTAGAACTGAACTAGAACTGAACTAGAACTGAACTAGAACTGAACTAGAACTGAACTAGAACTGAACTAGAACTGAACTAGAACTGAACTAGAACTGAACTAGAACTGAACTAGAACTGAACTAGAACTGAACTAGAACTGAACTAGAACTGAACTAGAACTGAACTAGAACTGAACTAGAACTGAACTAGAACTGAACTAGAACTGAACTAGAACTGAACTAGAACTGAACTAGAACTGAACTAGAACTGAACTAGAACTGAACTAGAACTGAACTAGAACTGAACTAGAACTGAACTGAACTGAACTAGAACTGAACTAGAACTGAACTAGAACTGAACTAGAACTGAACTAGAACTGAACTAGAACTGAACTAGAACTGAACTAGAACTGAACTAGAACTGAACTAGAACTGAACTAGAACTGAACTAGAACTGAACTAGAACTGAACTAGAACTGAACTAGAACTGAACTAGAACTGAACTAGAACTGAACTAGAACTGAACTAGAACTGAACTAGAACTGAACTAGAACTGAACTAGAACTGAACTAGAACTGAACTAGAACTGAAGTAGAACTGAACTAGAACTGAAAGAAATGATCACTCGAAATATATTAACATTAATTTTTAATATATTAAAAATTAGTTCATTTGCGGAAGTAAATGGTCAATAAAATGACTCAGAAGTCATGTTCTTGTATTTCCACAGAATTCTTTTATTTAAGCCGTCACATAAAACTTAACTGATAAAAGAATTATTGATAAAGATATGTATATTTATATTACTTTTAAATAACTTTAGCAACTTCTATTAATTTCAAAACTCCCCTTTTACTTAATCATTACCCAAAACTCTTACCTGGTGGGATGATCGGCATTAAAACCGGACAATGTTATACTATCATCATCATCGGTACGTATCTCACGACCACATTCGGGAAAATCACGTTTATATAAAAAGAATTGCATTTTCACACGATCAGCACTAGTGAAGGGAATCCAATGTTTAAAGAATTTCTTTAGGAATGACATGTCAAAGTGACGTTTAAAGAAACTAGGTTTCTCATATTTAAGCGTATGCACGCAATTGTCATCGATGCCATTATTCTGCAAAGACTGGGAGGGTGCGGAGGAGACCAAGGAGACTAAAAGAAGACCCAAAAATGTTTAATAATTTAAACATATTATTACATAGTATTTAACAGCTAGTTAAGTTTTTAATAAATTAACACTCGATTAACATATTTATGCCAAAATTATTTAAATTAATCTACCAGCTAAATGACGTTTATTTACCCTGAATGAATATTAATTCCAGCAGCAGAAAAATGAAAGTTAATTGAAATAAATGTTGTTTTGTATTTAATGTAAACATTTTAGAGCACTTTTAATAACTGTTTAAATATTTGTTATAATTTACAAATTATACACTTATTTGTAATCTACGCTATTTTTAATTAATTAGTCAAAATTTAAATTTATATATTTTGTTCGTATATCCCGTGTTTTGTATACGTTTTGTAAAAAAATAATAAAAACAATGACCAATTTAGCCGGCCAGTGGATTTTCTTCGTAGATTTAGAAATGAAATTTATATTATTTACAAAAAAATAAGCAATAAAGAGCTGACCTGCTCAATGGCGAGTTTATGAAACAACTGAATTGTTTATTTTGATTTTTTTATTTTATTCAGACGTTGAATAATGATGGTTCAACAAAACATTACGAATAAAATGTTAGTGGTCTCCAACAACAACAATACGATAGAGTATATGAATATCAACAATAACATTACCGACTACAAACAACACAACCGATCATCAAACAATAATAAAAACAACAACATCATCAGTTTTGAAAATTCAAACCCGTATCTGTTTCATACTCTTTTTTCACTCTCATTAATTGCTGTATTAATAAAACATTTTAATTTCGTGGATGCTTGTTGTTGATCTTCTCAAAAGATACAGATATTCTCCCTCTATATTTTATTTTTATTTCCCAGCAGGTCTCAATTAGCGTTGTCTGTTACTCGAAAAAAGACTTCAAGAGACAAACAATACTCGAAAGAAGTTTAATACGTTCTTAATCTGATGAATATTTGCACAACTGTTAAAAAGAATTTACATGTATCTTCTACATTTGAGATCTATTAGATACTTTAACGAAATATGAGAGACAATGACCTTTGCAGATTTCATCAACAATTTTGAGAAAGAGATGAATAACCGGAGTAATGAAGACACTGATTTGCGATAAAAGAACTGAACTAGAACTAACTAGAACAGAACTAGAACTGAACTAGAACTGAACTAGAGCTGAACTAGAACTGAACTAGAACTGAACTAGAACTGAACTAGAACTGAACTAGAACTGAACTAGAACTGAACTAGAACTGAACTAGAACTGAACTAGAACTGAACTAGAACTGAACTAGAATTGAACTAGAACTGAACTAGAACTGAACTAGAACTGAACTAACTGAACTAGAACTGAACTAGAACTGAACTAGAACTGAACTAGAACTGAACTAGAACTGAACTAGAACTGAACTAGAACTGAACTAGAACTGAACTAGAACTGAACTAGAACTGAACTAGAACTGAACTAGAACTGAACTAGAACTGAACTGGAACTGAACTAGAACTGAACTAGAACTGAACTAGAACTGAACTAGAACTAAACTAAACTGAACTAAACTGAACTAGAACTGAACTAGAACTGAACTAGAACTGAACTAGAACTGAACTAGACTGAACTAGAACTGAACTAGAACTGAACTAGAACTGAACTAGAACTGAACTAGAACTGAACTAGAACTGAACTAGAACTGAACTAGAACTGAACTAGAACTGAACTAGAACTGAACTAGAACTGAACTAGAACTGAACTAGAACTGAAACTAGAACTGAACTAGAAATGAACTAGAACTGAACTAGAACTGAACGAGAACTGAACTAGGAACTGAACTAGAACTGAACTAGACTGAACTAGAACTGAACTAGAACTGAACTAGAACTGAACTAGAACTGAACTAGAACTGAACTAGAACTGACTAGAACTGAACTAGAACTGAACTAGAACTGAACTAGACTGAACTAGAACTGAACTAGAAACTGAACTAGAACTGAACTAGAACTGAACTAGAACTGAACTAGAACTGAACTAGAACTGAACTAGAACTGAACTAGAACTGAACTAGAACTGAACTAGAAACTGAACTAGAACTGAACTAGAACTGAACTAGAACTGAACTAGAACTGAACTAGAACCTGAACTAGAACTGAACTAGAACTGAACTAGAAACTGAACTAGAAACTGAACTAGAACTGAACTAGAACTGAAACTAGAACTGAACTAGAACTGAACTAGAACTGAACTAGAACTGAACTAGAACTGAACTACTGAACTAGAACTGAACTAGAACTGAACTAGAACTGAACTAGAACTGAACTAGAACTGAACTAGAACTGAACTAGAACTGAACTAGAACTGAACTAGAACTGAACTAGAACTGAACTAGAACTGAACTGAACTAGAACTGAACTAGAACTGAACTAGAACTGAACTAGAACTAAACTAGAACTGAACTAGAACTGACTGCTATTGAACTAGATCAGTTTATTGTTCATTGATCTTTTAAATAAAGGGAGTACTATAAAACCTCTACTATATAACTTTAAACTTCGGAAGATAATTCATACAAGCCTCCACACAACTGTTTCAGAACTCACTTTAATAAATAATAATAATAAATCTTATATTATGTAATAAATCTTATACTATTAACAGTTTTATATAAAATTTTTATATAAAATTTCTGTATAAAATTCTGTTTAAATAAGTTTCATAATGTTTATATGTTTCAATCCATTAGAAAGGCCTTTCAAATTGCCATATACATTTCGGGCATAAATCCACCATAATTTTATAAATTGAATTTGAATCTAAATCTGCGAATAAAATTAAAAATTTACATTTCAATGTTTATTTAAACTTTTGCTCATTTCCGCTTTAAGCACGTGACTTATGCAAAATTCATTTAAAATTTAACAATAAACCAAAAATATAGAAAATGTTTAATTAAAACACCATTTGTGTGTGTTTTTCAACAAGAAAATGCTCATAAGTACATTTGTAGAATCAACAGTAAAAATAATATAGAAAAATCTGTTGAATATGAAAAAATCATTTACCACACTCTATCAGAATTTATTAATCATTAGAATCTAATGAAATTTTTCTCAAAACGAGGGCTAACTTCAAAATTATTTTCAAATTATACAGTAATAACATTATTTCTCTATAAATTATGCATATTTAAAGAAATTTCAAATAAAGTTTTGTTTTTAAGGAATATTTCATATAAAAAATTTAGTTAAAGCCTTTAAATTTTGTCATTTTACGAAATAGTTGTTTTTTTCAATTGACCCACCTACATGTGTATATTGGCTATATGCAAACGCATCAGTGATTCAGATTTTGAGTGAATAGTGTAGTGTTTTCAAAAGCCTCTATTTAGGTGGAAAATGTTTTGTTAATAGGGAAAGAAATTCCTTGCGATTACCGATTACCAGTGCAATAGCTTTTACCTCTACTTAACAATGCTAATGAGAAAAACCTTTCCAAACCAAATCAATTAGTGACAAATTCACAGCAAACTTTTGATTGAGTGCAAATGCACATTATGAATTTGCTATAAGTGACGGCAAAAAATGGAAATGGGTGATGTGGTGACTCCTGCAGTACATTAAGTGATTATTAGTAATTAAAACTAGGAAAAGTTAAGTGTTTATGATTACACAGGCTAACAAAATTTTAACCCACAGATCAAAGTGTAATTTTCTAATGGACTCAGTAGCACTGAATCCGAATCTCGCCTCCATCACTTCAGATTTTTTAGATATCGTGTCATTAAGTTTGAAAACACCTTTATTTATAAAATCTGTTATGTCATGTGAATATCCAATTAGTCGTTTAAAAAATAAAAATTTAAGCTCTGCTATGTTTTTTTAATTTTTTGAGATATCTTATCCTAAAGCTTTTCGAATTGTTTAAAAACCTCTTGTCTTTGGGCTATCTTCAACGGACGATATCTGACATATCAAATTTTATAAATAAAGGTATATTTGCTCTGTATTATAACGTCAAATATGGAGAATTTAAAATGACCTAAATTTTCTATAGCATTTTATCTTTTAAATAAAACATTAATCATCAAAATCGAATACGAAATAGCAAAGTTATATGCATTTCTTCACTTATATTTGGTAAATCCATTAAAAGTGATTTTGAAACAATTTCTTTTAATCAAAATATATATTTTATAAAATTGTACATAATTTGGGTTTTTCCGGTTTGAAAAATTTGTAAAATAATTAATTTCCTAATAAAAATTACAACTATTTTCATTCCATTTACAATATTAATATTACCTCTAACAAAAAAAAACACAACTCTGTTTTGCTTAAAACTTCCACTGAACATACCCCTTTGAAAAGTACGTGGCAAACTGTCAAATCATATGTGAGAAGAAAAAAAAACACTGAATACGAATGAAAATTCAAAAGAAAATATCAAAAAACTTTAAAGAATTGTATGCAAAACTAGGCTGCTCTGACGTGGAAGTGTAATAATTTTTTTTTGGTACAATAAAGTGAAAGAAAATTAATTTTCTCACAAATATTGCGAGTTAATTAAAACGGGAAAATTAAAGAAGAAAATTTCCTTTCGCGAAAAGTCTGAGTGTAAGAAAAAAAATACAAAAATAAAAGCTTTAAATAAGTGGAAAAGAAAATTTTTTCTTCGGCCTGCAAGTGGTGTTTACGTGGTGTTAATCATAAAAAAAAAATTATCTTGTAAAAGTACGGGACAAAAGTGCAAAAACCGATTTTTCCAGTTTAGTGAAGAAAAAAAAAAACAAACGCGGATCTTAAGTGTAAAGCATTAAGGGAAATTGCAAAATTATTTTATGAAAACTTAAAAAAGAAAATTGTGAAATTAAGAAAAATAGTTAAAAGAGAAAATGATGAATCCAAATGCTTATGGTCCACCGCCAACAATGCAGCCTATGCAACAGCAGCAGCAGCAACAACAGCCACCACAAATGATGCCACCACCACCTATGATGGGTGGTCAGCAGCAACAATTTGTACCTCCTGGTTGGCCTTCCCAGCAGCCGGGCATGCAAGTTCCTCCTCCAAACACTTCCATGCCTGGTAGTATGCCTGCACCGCCACAACAGGCAGCTCCCCCCACACAATCGAACATAATGAATGGAAATTATCAGCAGCAGGTTCGTTTTTTTTTTTTTTTTTTCATTTATTTTATAAAATTTTTTGCAGTTCCAGGTTTTCTCTTCTTTTTCCTTTTTTGTGTGTCTTTCTTAATGGCAATTTTTTATGGTTTTTTGGTTTTGTCATTGATAATTTTTGCTTTTTTGTTATTTTCCTTTTATTTATTACTTTAAGTTTCTTATTTGATTATGTATTTTACAAGAAATCTTCTATTTCCGTTTATCTTAAGAGAAAAATGTCTTGCTATCTCTTTTACACATAAAGAGATCTTGTCAAATGATTGTTTTTTTTCAATTGATGTTTTTTTTTTGTTTTTTAGAGGAAGAACAAGAAAAAATTAAGAAAATAGACAGGGGCGTAGAAATATTTAAGAAATTTTAAAAGTTAACATGACAATGTAGTTTTTTATATATTTAACAAGTAATTAAATAAGTTTTTAGAAAGTTTAAATACAATTTAAAGTTTAATTAACAAATTTCTTTAAGCCTTTGTCTTGAATTGTTTTTGTTTTTAAAAAGATAATGGAAACTGCAATGTTATCAGTTTTATATATTTTCGGCCACTCAATGTAATTTGAATATAAAACTTATTTGATGATAAGAAACTTTAGATTTAAACAAAACTTTAAATATGTATATTGATAATGAAATTAAAACTGACCTCTTTTTTAGTTGACGCAATCCATGGGCGCTATGACTATGAATCCCATGAAACAGCCGCCACCAACTCAACAACAACAACAACAATCATTAGCTGGACCACCAACTTCATTTAACAATGCTAATATGGGTATGCTACCTACTGGTCAACCTCTAGCGAATGGACCACCCTCGGCACAACAAGGCACTGCTCCCCCCACGGCTAATGTAAATAATAACTTTAATCCCTATCCTAATGGCACTTCCAGTAGGCCACCTACTGCTGGTACTCCTGGCATGCCACCACCACCAACATCCGCCGGTCCTCAACAGCAACAAACACAACCACCTACATCTATGGCTGGCAATTTACCACCAGCTCAAAATATTCCTGGAGCGGCCAATCAAATGACAGTAAACAGTGCCAGTTTACCGGGTATGCCTCATATGCCACCCGCACCCCAAAAATCTGGCGTAAGTTTATTTTAATCATTTCATATTTCATTATATAATTATAAACTTATAATTTTAGCAATCTACTCCCTCTATGCCACCCATGCCTGGTCAGCAACAACCAACTCAGCAGCCTATGCAGGGTTTCCCAGGTACTCAAGCCCCACCATCTCAATTCCCTCCCCAGTCTCAGCCTGGTAGACCTGGTATGATGCCTCCTCCCATGATGGGTGGTCAGCAACAGCCAGCTCCTATGCAGCAACCGGGATTGCCTCCTATGCCTGGACAGCAGCAACAACAACAACCAGGCATGCCTCCCATGCAACAGCCCGGTATGCCACCCATGCCCTCGCAACAGCAACGTGGTATGCCTCCAATGCCTGGACAACAACAACAACAACAGCCTGGCATGCCTCCTATGCAACAACCTGGTATGCCTCCTATGCCTGGTTATCCACCTCAACCAGGGCAACAACCCGCTATGCCTGGCTATCCCCCACAGCCCGGTCAAGCTCCCATGCCCGGTGGTTATCCATCGCAAATGATGCGTCCTCAACCGGGTCAACCTATGACAGGAAGACCGGGATACAATGTAAGTAAAGCTATGAAGTGTTAAAAAAGCATTTCTTACATTTCAATATTAAACCCACATGCCGTTTTTTACACCTCAAATTTTATTGTCCCAAGAAGAAACCCTATCGAAAAATGGACTACTTCTCATATAAATGTCCAACAGACTATGCCCAGAATATGATTTATTGGTCGTAGACCATAAGAAGTAGAAACATATTGACACTTTTCGTCTTTTATTGAAATAATAATAGATTGATCCAATCCTGCTTTAAACTTACGAAACAGAACTAATTCAAAAACGTATACAGGATCACATTCCGAAATCTGCGGTCCAACAGCAATATCTTACCTTAAGTTCAGCTTTTAAAAGAAAACACTGAACATACTTTTGATTAGATTTAAATACACTGGACATACGATTTTAATTTAAATATAATTTTTCAGTTAATCAGTTAATAATATGTAATTCTCTTCTCAGCAACCTCCCGGTGGTATGTACCAACAGCCTCAACAATATGAACAACAACAAAAACGTTTAGATCCCGATCAAATGCCTAATCCCATACAGGTAATGATCGAAAATCAACGTAATGCTGGTGGTGCCTTTGTAACCAATCAACCGGGTCTGTTGCCACCTTTGGTAACTACTAAATATGTAGTGCAGGATCAAGGCAATTCATCGCCAAGATTTTTAAG